TTAACTAACTTTATAATGTGATTATGATTGTAACAGATAATTATGCAGTCAGGAAATAAAAATTTCATGCAAACAATATTCAAAGTGTCTATACAGCAGGCTATTTAGTAAACTGTTACCTGTCAATTCAATCCATACTCATCAAATTTCCAAAACTTTATTGTAATCATATGAAGCAAAAGTTATGTCACTTGTTGTTTACACTTGCCAATGTTAACTGTTGAGTAACATACACAAAATATTTGGTGAACATGTCGAAGACCACTGAATAATTGAGGATGTTTTGAAAGTCATGAGTGAAGTATATAATTAAATTCCAGTTCTGTGCACAGTTAATGATATACCATACTGTTCGGTTTAACACATACAGCACATTCACACAAAAAGAATCGTGTTGTGGGAGATTATCGGTTTGAGTAGAAGGTATCACAAGTTTAGTTTTGCACATTGTGTGCCATTGATCAAATCCACCATATAATATATGATTACTCATTGTATAGCTGTTAAGTTATTTTCCATACTAATGAATTTAGGTAAGATTGTCTTGCAAGTTGATTGTTCTGACAAAATTATCCAGCCAATATCCAGTACATTTATTCTTCATTCTTGTATTAATCTCTAAAGAAAAATATTTATGTTAGAAAGCAAAATGACAATGTAATGAGGCTCGGGAGGGTGAGGATTCTTTTATTTGAAAATGTTTGTAAAAATTTTGTTTAATTAACTCTAATGTGTAAAACCAAAATGTATAAGTATTTTAACTGATAACATCTTCAACCTTTGCTCTAACACTACATTTGATGACAGCTTTATAGTTGGACTGTTGTTTTGAACAGAGTTATGGAGTCAATATACAGAAATACAGGACCAGGATTTAATTCAATATCTCCTGAGAATGTTTTCACTGTTTAAAATATTACAGAAGTCACAGAAGGATTGTTTTTAATACTGTATAAATCTTTTTGTGAACTATGTTGATAAATGGCTTATTAAAAATATCCTCGAAAATATCCAATATTTTATACAGTGTAATATATTAATAAAAAAATTCCAGAGTGCATTCCATGTAAACTCTACGCCGAAGATACGGCAATATTTAACTATAGATAGTATAGTAAATATTTGCCGAACTGGCGAACTCATGTATTATAAAATATGTGGGACATATATTTGCACAAATTTGGTATTTAAATAATTATATAATATGTGGTATTTGACTACTTACCAGATGAGGATAAGATTCCATGTTGATAAATAACTTCGGAATAAAAAAAAGACAGCCAATTCAAGATAAATTGATAAAAATATCAAGATATTTTTGAAAGAATATAAAACACGATTTATACACGAGGCCTGACGAGGCTAAAGTATGCCCGTTCGCAGGTTAGATCAGCGGGCACGATGTAAACAATTGATGTAAACGAATCGCTGATTGGCTTAAATATTAAACAATTGATGTAAACGAATCGCTGATTGGCTTAAATTGGCATAAATTGGCTGAATAATATAAGCCCGTCGCTGAATGGCTAGGGATACGGTACGGTACGGTCACGGCACGTTTGCGATAGCATATATATCTGCTTCGCAGATACAAAAATAGGTACGCGACGCGTACATGTATCTGCAAAAAAACTTGATTCACATTTTGTATTTTCTTGAAAGAAACTGAATAATGAAGATGACATGGGACAATTGAAATATTTCATTACTTATTATAATGGCATTTAAGATTTAAAACAGGGCTGTACACAGCGGGGAGTGCAGCAGGGCAAATGCTACCCCCCCCGGACCCCCGCCCCGAGAAAATTTAACTAACTTTATAATGTGATTATGATTGTAACAGATAATTATGCAGTCAGGAAATAAAAATTTCATGCAAACAATATTCAAAGTGTCTATACAGCAGGCTATTTAGTAAACTGTCACCTGTCAATTCAATCCATACTCATCAAATTTTCAAAACTTTATTGTAATCATATGAAGCAAAAGTTATGTCACTTGTTGTTTACACTTGCCAATGTTAACTGTTGAGTAACATACACAAAATATTTGGTGAACATGTCGAAGACCACTGAATAATTGAGAATGTTTTGAAGGTCATGAGTGAAGTATATAATTAAATTCCAGTTCTGTGCAGAGTTAATGATATACCACACTGTTTGGTTTAACACGTACAACACGTTCACACAAAAACAATCGTGTTGTGGGAGATTATCGGTTTGAGTAGAAGGTATCACAAGTTTAGTTTTGTACATTGTGTGCCATTGATCAAGTCCACCATATAATATATGATTACTCATTGTAGCTGTTAAATTATTTTCCATACTAATGAATTTAGGTAAGATTGTCTTGCAAGTTTGTTGTTCGGACAAAATTATCCAGCCAATATCCAGTACATTTATTCTTCATTCTTGTATTAATCTCTAAAGAAAAATATTTATGTTAGAAAGCAAAATGACAATGTAATGAGGCTCGGGAGGGGGAGGATTCTTTTATTTGAAAAAGTTTGTAAAAATTTTGTTTAATTAACTCTAATGTGTAAAACCAAAATGTATAAGTATTTTAACTGATAACATCTTCAACCTTTGCTCTAACACTACATTTGATGACAGCTTTATAGTTGGACCATAGGCAGCCCAATGTTATGGTTGCCTACCTGCACGCGGGCGACGCATTGTATAGTTGTATTATTTCCTAAGGTAGGCAAATTCAATCAAACTAACGATACATATACTTTCAAACAATCCAAAATACTTCAAATATCTTTACATCTACGCTAAACTAATCACGGAAATAAAATCTACGATACTTTTACTATATACTAACAATATTTTAACGTACAAAACAAATTTGTAATGCGAGAAAAATACGAAAAGTTTTTGCATTTTTTTTTTCAATTCTTGAATGAGACGATGCTGGATTCGCGCTCGACGTTTTTGATGGCGTTTCAAATGAAGAATTTCTAATCTCATTGGCTGTCATTTTTACGGTTTTAAAACGTAGAAAAAGACAGCCAATGAGATTATAAATTCGTCATTTGAAACGCCATCAAAAACGTCGAGCGCGAATCCAGCATCGTCTCATTCAAGAATTGAAAAAAAAATGCAAAAACTTTTCGTATTTTTCTCGCATTACAAATTTGTTTTGTACGTTAAAATATTGTTAGTATATAGTAAAAGTATCGTAGATTTTATTTCCGTGATTAGTTTAGCGTAGATGTAAAGATATTTGAAGTATTTTGGATTGTTTGAAAGTATATGTATCGTTAGTTTGATTGAATTTGCCTACCTTAGGAAATAATACAACTATACAATGCCTCGCCCGCGCGCAGGCAGGCAACCATGCATAACAATTGGGCTGCCTATGGTTTATGCATGAATTTGTTAACTTTATGATATATGGTAACTTTTCTTTTAAATATGTAGTCTTTTTTTCACAGGAACAAGCACGGAGACTGCGGAGAAGGCGTATATAGGAAAAGTTGAAGAACTTAAGGGGAAATATGGAACAAAGTAAAGGTGGATCGCTTAGCCAAATGATATCATGAGTCACTGACAATGAACTCTATCTTATAACATATTAACTTAAAAAATTGATTAAAACTCACTGTTGATTAAAACTATTTATGATCTTCATTGTTTTGTCTGTTCCTTCAATGTACGTCTTTGAAAACATTTCCAGTTGCACTACATCGGATTCGCGACTGTTCAGAGCTGTTCAAAGATGGATTAGCGCTAAGCTGCTAACCCTGGGTTAAATTTTAACCTGCTGTTTTAATGGACAACTTGCATGTTAGACAAAATTTTAATCTAAGCAGAGAAAAGGGAATCAGACACCACAGCTAAAAAGAATATATTGAAATTAGTAAAAGTGCAAAATTTGGTTGCGAAATGTTGTAAAGCTTGGAAAATATAGCCTTGCAAAGTTTGCATATTTTCAGTATATTTGTATTACGAGCGGAAATTGTTACCATTTTTGAGCCGAAAATGGTAACAATTTCCGCACGTAATACAAATATACTGAAAATATGCAAACTTTGCAAAGCTATATTTTCCGAGCTTTACAACATTTCGCAACCAAATTTTGCAAGTGTACTAATTTTAATAAGTTCTTAACGGGAATTTACTTTTTTTTTTGCCTAGATCGGTTAGATCAAAAATTTGTCTAACATGCAAGTTGTCTATTGGTTTGTGTATTTCTGCACGTCTGTTTATTTCAAATCTTTGGGAATGTTTAAAAACAAGCTGTTGGGAACAGGGGCGTAGGAAGCATATCTAAAGTTTAGAGAGGCTTTGAGGGGCACTTTTCGAATGAAAAAGGGCACCTAAAAATTTTACTTTCTTATTTTTCACTAATTTTTCCGGAAATATCATATTTTTTCCCGAAAATTGAAAAACTTTCCTGGCATAACATAATTTTACGCAGAAATAACAAAATTTTTCAGGGCATGCCAAAATACAAAAATAGGTACATGTTGCATGCCATTTGAAACCTTAAGATGCGCTAGCGCTTATATTACAGTCGATTTCAGATAACTTTGACCACAAATGTTTCGAACTTCGTTGCGAAGTTCAAAAGTTCATAATGAGATTCACAAACCAGTTTGAAAACTACGCACTTGATTGGCTTCTCTTACTTCAGGGACCAATCAGGGACTTACAAAGCTTACCTACCTCGGTCTATTTTTCTAAGTCGCTCAATTATGTAAATTTTCTGCGAACAATCAAATTGAATACCGTATATCAGTGGTTTCCTCGACGAAAACGTGCACGAGTGATTCACATCACATGAAAAATCTTGTGGGAAAAACTCTGTATCTGTCGTACTGTCCGGAATCTGGCACGTGGTTTGGTACGCTCACCACCGCCACGACACGAAATTTAGAGCTATATGAAAGTTGCATGCCATATGTGGCATGCAACAAAAACAAATGCAATCATAAATCAAAGGCCTTTGGGCAAAAAATGCAATCTGAACGACATTTTTCACAGAGGTAAAGGGCACTTTGCTCCCGGAAAAAGGGCACTTTTGAAAACTTGGGGGCCTGCCCCCCCCCCCCCGGTTCCTATGCCCCTGGTTGGGAAGATTGCTTTGAAGAATTTGTTTCACTAAGCTAACCAACCTTTGAACAACTGGCCCTGCAGGACACAAAATATCCGACGGTCAACGGCCAAATTATGAAAGGCTACTATGGCAAGAAAGTCCGTTAACGTTAAATTGTCTGATAGTTCATAAGACACCTTCCAAACTTGCACTCTATGACTTCAAATTGCGTTTCAAACCATCCATTTTCGGCGCGCAAGCCATTTTTAAAGTGGTTTTAAAAAACGCCCTGCTGCGCTCGAAAATTTGCTTTCAGAATAATTTTGAGAGAGATAGCAGAAGCCCTCAAACTACCCATACTAACATAAAGTTGTCACAAATGTTCGGAATTTTCAGTTTAGTAGACATTTTAGAACTGTGCACTTTTTTCTGCAGTTATTTGTCCAACATTAAAAAAGTGTATACATACGTCTTACACAAGTGCACAATTAGCAAGCTAAATTCCCCCCCCCCCCCCCCCCCATTAAAACGTATAAAAATATAGGGGGTTGAATATAAATATTACAAACAGCAACAACATAGACTATACAATTACTTTATGGTTTCCGTGTTTGGATGGCCTGATCCAAACACGCGGGAATGTTCCGAGAGTTAAGAAAAGCGCACAAAACACGAGCCGAAGGCGAGTGATTTTGCGCAGTTTTCTTAACTCGAGCAACATTCTCAAGTGTTTGGATCAGGCCATCCAAACACGGAAACCATAAAGTAATTGTTTTATAAAATAACAACTTTCCGTGTTAAACTTTTACTTTAAAAAACTTTCACTTTAAATTTCTGTGTTTGGATGGCTTGATCCAAACACGGGTTTCGACCAATCAGAGCACGCGTTATATACATGTTATTTTATAAAATAATTTCTTAATAATGGTTTAAACAATAACATTGGGCAATGTCTTTTACTTTATTAAACCACTGAATATTTGCACTAAATGTGCATGAAAATGATTTTAATACAAGAATATTTATGATTTCCATAAAATATAGCTTCCAATTTTGCAATGCAGTGCATGTTTTAAGGATTCTTCAGTGGTAGGGTAGGGTAAAACTGCCAAAGGGCCCATTTTCCATGTACCCCAGGAAATTTTTAAAATTGGAGTCTCTGAAATAGCATTTCCTGCAATCTGACAACACATTTTTAAAAAATTCTCAGCTTCTCAGAACAAAGTTTTATGGTAAAATTTGTACTAAATTGCACGCTAAACATTACCCTGGTTCCAGAGGTTTAAAATACACCTCTGGTTGAAAGCGGCAATTGATTCATCGAGCCGCGCCAATCAGTTTGAATTAGGGTCAGATCCTTAAAGCTCTCTGATTGGTTATAGATGTTTTATTTGAATCAATCAGAGAGCTTTAATACAATCATCCAATCAGGAGACAGAGTCAGGATCTGACCCTAATTCAAATTGATTGGCGCGGCTTGATGAATCAATTGCCGCTTTCAACCAGAGGTTTATTTTTCCTCTCCTCTTCGCAATGAAAATAATAAAAATAAACCTCTGGAACCAGGGTAGCTAAACATTCAAACACATGACGTTTAAGTATGCTCACCAACAAATTTTGTTTTTTAAACTTCTTTTCAATGTTAAACTCATTTACTCAATAGAGGTCCTAGGGCCCTGACTTTGGGGCAATAGGCCATTTTTTTCTTCAATGGTGGGGAAGAGGAAGGGGCCCAGTGGGGCAAATCAGTCAATGGTATTAAAAAATGCCTTGTAATGCCACTGCAGTGGTGTGCCAGCGTTGTGTATGTTACAACCATAATTTACATACATAATGCAGCTAGATAACATTTTAGTACTTTTAGTACTTACATTTTAGTACGTTTTATTGCACCTCAAATGTACTGGCATATAAAATATTATCCACTCTAGGGCTCATAATCAATACTCTAGAGAGCATCTTAATTTCTTACTTTGAATTAAATAGGAAAATATTTTCATAACACATTGATAAAACACGATAAAATGTTATTCATATAGTAATAGATATCAAAAGTGATCTTTTAGCATGTCGATAAGCGTTGGTGGTGGATGGCCTTCGTATACGACTTTCGATATCGCTGTAAATAACGGGAAGCTGAAAGGAGAAAAATAACGTTTAAACTCCTTTTTGTCCGAGAAAATCTGACCAAGATCTAATCGAAGCCGGTGTCACAAAAAATGCCCCTCCCCCGGAGTTGCAAAAAGTATTCACCTCCGGTCAAAATTTCAAGTTTGCAAACCTTGAACCTTCCTCACAATAATGCGAAGTATGGCTTTTTCAAACTGACATGCAGCTGTTTGATTGCATTGTACTCATACATACAAACAGTACAGGCTCGCGACTGCTAGAAGATGTATACGTTACAATTACTACAGTAATACCATAGTTGCCTCGAAATCCTTTGTCTCGCGAGGTACGATTAATCACTAATTTACCTCATTACTAAAACATGGGAGTAAAATTAGAACTAATTTTACCACGGCCCACGGGCAAAATTAGAACTAATTTTCCCCTGCATGCTTGATGAGGGAAATTTAGAAGACAAAAGCGTACCACCTCATTACCTCTGATTGGAGAGCTGTACATCATCGAAAATCATCGGCACAACTATGGACAGTATCTGACGACACCGTCCCGTACACATTCGAACAATCACTTTGCCAGCTTTTATTCCCTAATCTTGAACATTACAATTGTGGGAGAAAATTCCGTTTATGCGCATGCCTAAAACGCCAATGGACACGGAGATGTGTTCCTGCGCGTGCGTATATATGAAAAGTGTTCGTACCACAATCATAAGACAATCAAACAGCATTCAAAACAGGCAACACACCACGCGCGGACTCCATCGGCAACTATGGTATTACAACGTAATAGCATGGCATTACGGTCGATTAGTGATGAAATGTCCCTCAAGCCTCGAGGTTTACTAAACCTCTCTCGGCTTTCGGGTACATTTAATCACTAATCGCCCTGAATGCCATGCTATTACTTATAAAAACACCGCTTCCCAGAAAGCTGCTATTGCCAGCGTTAGAAAATATACTATATGACCATCTGAATAGATTATTTGCTGTCAATTTTACCAGATTTTACTGAACCAAACGAAAACAAACAAGTTCAAAGCCTGCACGTTCTACAGAATATTTTTTTCGTTTTATTGTTTTTTTCCTCAGTATTCTCCCGTGTAACATAGACAGCTGGTATCGATAATATCACAATAGTTTCCAGCACAACATCGACATCCTGCCAACCTCAACCTTTGTAGTCAAGTGTCATTTATTTGTTTTATGGTGTCAGGGACAGCGTTGAGTAGAGTTTTCCACATTAAACCTTCCTCATCGTAAATCTTCCTCACGGGTGGTAACCGCATACCCGCAGCTAAAATGCAAACAATGCCCCCCCCCCCGCCCTTCTCGCAATTTCACCGCCAACCTCAGGGAGCGAATCTCTTAGGAATATCGTCTCGCCTTTAGAAATTTCGACCTCCTTCACAGTATATTGTAATAGATATATTGTAACGAATTGTTTCTTATACATAATTTACCTTTCTGTCAATTCATTTTCTTTTAGTATTTTATACAGTGCATGTAGTGTATGTGGTCCTTGAAGTTTCTGACCATTTAGGATCTCCTTCTCAATAACTTCAAAACTCTAGATAAACGCACATGAATAAAAATATTGAATTACAGGTAAACTATGTGAAGCGTTCCTCTTTTGAGTTCCTAACTCATTTGGAATTTTCATAATTAGTTTTGCAAATTTGAAAAACTCTCTGCAAATCCTTGAGGGAATTTGCAATTTTTCTGTCGGCCGTTGTAATATTCCAACACAAAGAAAGTTCCTTTCAAATTTCCCTAACTTCCTGTTTTAATTTCCTGACTTCCTGTTCTGTTCTGTTCTGAGCGTTATCATTGGCGGATTATTTTTGTTAGCCAATTACAACGCGCAGAACAGAACAGGAAGTTAGGAACTTGTAACAGGAAGTTAAGAACTTTAACAGGAACTGAGGAAAATTTGTTTGGCTCTTAAGAACATTGCAAATTCCCTCAAGGGATTTGCAAGGGAGTTTTTCAAATTTACTAAGGTAATGAGGAAAATTGCAATCAAGTTAGGAACTTGAAAGAGGAACGCTTCACGTAGTTTACCTGTAATAGACTCAAACGTTTTTACAATATTTCATGACGGACGCCATTTTGGCGACATGGAAAGTCTTCTGTTCAATTTAGATCTGAAATTAGCTTTGAAATAATCTGAAGTCGAAATATCAACCAAAAAATTATACCCTGATTTTATAGTCCATATTCTGAGTTTTTCAATATGCATTTAATCCCAATTTGTTGTATTTGAAGTATCACAAATCCCAAGTATGATTTCTGGTATATGTAATAATTGGGTGATTGAAAGAAGAAATGTAATAGGCTACCTCTGTATTGTCCCGAAAAAATGCAATACGTTTCAGATTTTTACACAGCTAATTACCAGAGGGTATCGCAAATGTAATCTACGAGATGAATTTAGACAATTATTAACATCGGTCTAGTAGAACGAATGTTATGGCCGTTTTAAAATAAAGTTTGTTTCACCCAATGGACCATTGAAATAATCTATCAGTTGTGTAAAGTATCAATAGGTTTGATGAGTCACTTTGACATAATATTGGTTACACTAGACCAATTTTAACAATCTTATTGTCAAATTAATGTCTTCACTTAGATTAAAATTTTGATGCTCACTAATAGAATAGCTGTATAAAAATCTGGAACATAGCTATATTGCATTTTTTCGGGACACTCTGTATATCTTTCCAGTAAAAAACCTCATCTTGATCAACTTTTTCATTGTCAAAATTTCTGGATATGACAGAGGGCGAAAATGTAGTGAAACTGGGGAACTAGGTTGCCAGAAAATTTTAGCCAATTTGTTATCTCGCAGAAAATTTTGAAGATTAAACTACTACATGCACGTTTCATATTTGGTCCAATCAGCTACCCTAGTCTGTTACTTAATTACCACAAAACATTTAAGGATCGTCGCATTGTTATTCTTTCGCGCTCTCATTTTTAAAATTTAATTGGCTTATCGACTAACAAACTCCCAGAAAATTTTATATGTTTTTAGTTCGCCCTATGGGATATGATGTCATTAGTTGAATTTTTGGAGCAAAAAAACAAAGAAATCTAATTTGCAATAATCATCTAATGACATCATATCCGGAAACTTTGACAGTGAAAAAATATATGAGATTTTATACTACAGTTAACTTATATTCCATTTCGTCCGAAAATGACACAAACATAGCCCATACAAAAAATAATATTTGGGATTAGTCGCACTTTAATTTACAATTTTATATTACCTTTCCAGTTCTTACAAAGAGTTCTGCACATTTTCTGTTTCGCCCACCATAACACGTCGCAATGAGGTCGGCAACACCACATGACTCAAAGAACGTTTCTTTCTTCACATCGCCGTAAAATTTCTCAACAAATGACAATATTTCGACCATTCCGAGACGGATAACTGCCGCTTTTGTATTTGCACCACATCTGTAAAGAAAAAGGAAGTGATTATTTGTCCTGCACAACTATTCTCTTGGTTTTGTCTGCATGCTAAAATAGAGGTCGGCTATATTGCGAGTCTGCGAGTTGCGAGTCTGCGAGTTGCGAATCCGCGAGTTGCGAGTCTGCGAGTTGCGAGTCTGCGAGTTGCGAGTCTGCGAGTTGCGAGTCTGCGAGTTTACGGTGTGGATTTATTGCCTCGAAAACGCTCACTTAAGTGTAATTTTGTGTGCTTTGACGAATTGATCTTATATTTTATACTTTGACAGACAGACTCGTTTCGCTTTTTCGAATTTCTCAAATTTTGGCGGGAAAATGACGTCATCGTTTTGGCGCCAATATTTTGTTTAAGTGTTAAGACTTCCTTTGTTAATTTTTCTAAAATAAGAGGCATATTATCTTCTAAACCGAAACAATAATTGAATTATCTTAATTCAATCAAGAGTTATAAAGGATGGAATTTTCAGATTTGGGCTATTTTGGGCTATTTTTAGTAACAAAATGGCCGAAATCTGAACGTTCCATCCGTTATAACTCTTGATCGAATAAAGATAATTCGATTATATTTTCGGTTTTGAAGTTTACACAACATATAACTTTTAAAAAATTAACTAAGGAAGTCTTAACACTTATTGGCGCCAAAAGGAAGACGTCATTTTCCCGCCAAAATTTAAAAATTCGAAAAAGTGAAACGAGAGCATTTCTTAGAATGAAAAGATCTGTCAAAGTATAAAATATAAGACCAGTTTGTCACAAAACACACAAAATTACACTTAAGTGAGCGTTTTCGACGCAGTAAATCCCCACCGTAAACTCGCAGACTCGCAACTCGCATATTAGACATACTCGCTAAAATAACATAGCGTATATTAAGGTTTTTATTTATAGCACAAACAAGTTGAAATTTACTTGAATGCAAATGAACGATATACTATTATCGTTAAGCCCACAAGAATTGTGGGACTATTCGGACAAACTACACTTGTGACGTCAATTGGAATACATGCTATTTCATTGATTTTCATCATCAAGCAACTCCTCAATAGTTCCGTGGATCGACCTGCGAACAGGTGGCCTGATCGGTTAGAGTTAGAGTTTAGGGAAGCGGTTAGGTGTGGGGAAACAACCGCTGGCCACCTAAACGAACCAACCAAACTAACGCATGGGCAAATATAGCCAATGCTCGTTGGTTTCGGTGACTGGACAAATAACAACTTCGAAAGAGAAGTGCCTCATGGTTTGTCGTATTCTTGTTTGCTATTCATTGAATTCAAAATGATGCTCAATATCCAGTATTACATTTTTAGATCAGTGATAGCTTTTAACAAGATCGCATGCATGGAAATGGTGGAAATACAGAATTTATGACAGAAGGAAACGTTGTTTTATCATTTCCCTTGATAATTATTGAGGATATCAATCAGCCAATTATCGGTTTGGTTAATGATATGAAAAACACAACTCACTCTAGAGCGTCGATCATTCCAGCTCCAATTGCAACAGCATTCTAAATAATTATCTTAACATTAGAATAAAAGCTAAAGCCACTCACATTTGCCAATTCTCATACTGTATAAAAAATCCATCTGATCTATATTTTTATACTGGATTTAGCATGCAAAGCTTTTACAATTAGTAAACATATGCATCAGTATTTTGGATAATTTACTTTATAATACAGTATGAGAATTTATCTATTTTCAAACCCTAACATTTCTATAATAAGTAATACTTAACTATACAGTACATGGTGTATAAAAAATAACTAGACCTCTCATCTGAAAATTGATGTGACGTGTGTAGTTAAGAGTTTTCTGATTTCTTGAACCTAACATTTTTCCTAAAATGAAATCCCGAGTGCAAAACTGCCAAAATTATCTAGTTCCTGTTTTATATAACCCTGCATATCTAAGAACGTCTCACCCTTGAAATAAAAGAATATCTTGAAATGACTGAGATATCAAGTTTTGAAGTTAATATTTAAAATATGTTACTAAGAAATATATGTATATATTAAAACACCCAGTGCGAGTTTAAAAGGTCTATTGTCACCGCATAATAAATCGCTACAAAAATATTTTAACTCAAACTTAACTCACTGTGACCCTAGTTTGAACACATAAAAACTAAAAAGTTTCGTTATAATTATTGAAGATTTTGATATTACAGAAAGAAAAGCAATTACCTTCAACGCACCACACAGCTCCACAGTAACAGAATCGGAAACAGTATTTATCTTAAAATATCTGCAGTGAAAAACATCTTTTAAAATTGGACCATGTTCTAGTACCTTGCAACCTGAAAGAAAGAACCAAATGTGAAAACATTCTGCATATAATCTGCGATGTAGGAGGGGCCTGGGCTCGAGAGGGTGGTTACGATATTAAGAGGGCGTCTCTGTAAGAGCGGACCACTGGATCTAGGCTTCAAAAATAGATTTCTATTTCTCTTATATTTCTACCGTCGATACTCTCATCTATCCTAACTACGAAGCAGGAGTTAAGATCGTTCTAACGTGGTTTTTACAACCGCTATGCGAGTTTTTGTCCCAGGACCCAAGTTAATTAAAATATGCCAGTTTCTGAAATCGCCGAAGCCTACAATCATAGTCCGCTTTCTCTATTTTCTCTGCGAATCAGAGCTTCGTTTTCAGGTCTGAGCTGCACTAGAGTGCTCTTTCTACTAAGAAACAGTAATATATAGCTGTTTAGTTGCACCTGGCAAATAAAAAAATTTTACTAATCGAGACCCTTCAACGCATGATATCAAATTCGAGAATTATAGGTCCTAAAACATTGCAGAATTCTCATTTGTGGCACCTGCCCAGGTTCTAAATCGCTTTTTAACTTTGAGGTTCTAAATCGCTTTTTAACATTGCAGAATTCTCATTTGTGGCACCTGCCCAGGTTCTAAATCGCTTTTTAACTTTGAGGTTCTAAATCGCTTTTTAACATTGCAGAATTCTCATTTGTGGCACCTGCCCAGGTTCTAAATCGCTTTTTAACTATTCCATACATCTACGCAATAAAATTTGCGGCACATTGCATTTCTAAGAAATCAGGAAGTTGACAATTTTTGCATTTTTTAGCTATTTCTCCGCGTGACACAAGAACCTAATTAACGATGAATATATGTCCCTGTGCTGTTATTAGCCTCACTGTTACTATCCAAAAATCAAGAATACATTAAAAACTTGTTCCTAAATGTCCTTTTTCTGATTCTTAAAGATTTATTTAAGTAATTTCAACCCTCTTTTAATTTGCTAACAACATGGACATAACATTTAATATAGCTCGCATAATTAATAATATGCATTCGTCCCAAATTTTGTATGAAACTATATTCAAAAATCATTTTATAATATAATATAATATAATAGCAATTGCAATGAATCAGAATAGGCACAAATACTAGCGTAGAATATCAGAAATAAAATGACTCGTATGATTTTAGAAATTAATTAATAACTAAACAGATTTAAAATTGCTCTCAATTTCGCAAAACAGCTATTAGTATCCAGTTTTTTTATGTATATAGCTTCCTTGGGTGCTTATAATGTAGAATAATGAAAAAAAATTCTCGAACTCAAATTTTGTGAACCAGGGGGGGGGGTGTCATTTCCAACAAAATAAAAATGGCTTGCGCACGAAATTTAAAAGCTTTAATCATATTTTGAGTTGATAGATGGAAAACGTGTTAGGTTTTTAATTAATGTGCAAAATGTCAGACAATTTGCTTTAGGTTAAGCCTTTAACTATTCATTTTTCCCTAAAAAATCAGCCTTTCGCATGCTTAATGCCTTTACCTAATTTGCATATTGCTGACATATGCAAATTAGGCAAAGACGTGTAAGTTTGCGTGACTAATGCAAATTGCTTGGACTAATGCAAATTGTCTGCAATTTTGTACAGTAATTAAAAACCCAACAAATGTTCCATCTATTAACTCAAAATATGATTAAAGCTTTTAAATTTTATGCGCAAGCCAGCTTTTTGTTTGTTTGAAAACCCCCCCCCCCCCCCCCCTGGTTCACAAAATTTGAGTTCGGGAAATTTTTCTATATTATAAGTACCCAAATATGCGAAATTAAAGCTAAGCACATTCATATCTGTTCAGTTTTTCATTTTATACACCCTGTAGAACTCTTTTGCAAAATTGCGGTGTCCTTCGCTCCGTGCCAAGTTTATTATGTAAATAAGTAAATAAGTAAATATTAAGTATATTTTGTAAATTAGTATAATTTAGTTTATTAGTTCCTTCTTTTATAATGCATTTATTTTCCGCACGGCCCTTTGAAAATCACCTATGTGAAAGGTTACCGTGTTTAAAGATCAATAATAATAATAATAATAATAATAATAATAATCACAGCTGCCACGGCAGACGGTCTGGTATAAGCACCCAAGTGTCTCAACGAGGACAAAAATACCGTTGTTCGAATCAGCGTACGAAATTGTACTTACGGATGCCAAATTCATTACTAAATAGCAGTATTCTAGCGATTTATAGCCTTTGAAAGTCAAGCGAAGTTGTATTGTTGACAATTGACAAATCGCTCAAAATTAATAGAACTAATTAGAAATGCAGTAGGTTTGATCCTTGATAACTTTCCTGTCGTTTGTTTTCTCTTTTTCGACCGCATACGAATGGATTCGTCTCACTTTTCTCTTCATTTTGATAGTATTTTGATCCGACAATAGTTTATTTTCAAGGTTTTAAAGCGAAGTTATAACTAAGCGTGCGGAACAACTGCCCGCCAACAGTAGGAATGTAGCGTACTACAAAATGATATATCCTTTACTTGTAGCACAGCTCGTAGGCGGAAACGCCGGAAAGTTTTATTTGTAAAGCACCGCATTTTAGTACTGTGTCCGGTTTACTCTGTTCTTATAAAAGCATGGTTACCATTTAGCAGTCTTTTATCGAGTTTATATGCCATGACAATTGTTCCTGTGCATCGCTGTCTTTGTATTTCTGTCTTTGTCGGGCTATAATTTGTCATTTTGACTGCTTAAAGGCCCGTTTACACGGGCGATTTTTACTGCAATTTTAGTTGCGATTTTCTCCTTTTGGAGGATGTGAAGGAGTGAATGAGTTATAAATGTTCCAGGTTATGAAATCTCATAACAACATCGTCAAGTAATCTGACTCCTTCACATCCTCCAAAAGGAGAAAATCCCAACTAAAATCGCAGCAAAAATCGCCCGTGTAAACGGGCCTTAACAGGATTTATTTGCCATTAATACGAATCAGACAAAGGACATTTAGGAATAGGTCTTCAACGTGCTGTTGATTTTTCGGCAATAATAGCGAGGCTAATAAACAAAACAGTAGGGGCTGATATGCCGCTTTAATATTGGATTCTTGTGTCATGCACACGCAGAAATATAGCTAAAAAATGCAAAAATTGTCAACTTCCTGATTTCTTAGAAACACCATGTGCCGCAAATTTTATTGTGTAGATGTATGGAATAGCATCCTATTTCAAAATTAAAACGCGATTTAGAACCTGGGCAGGTGCCACAAATGAGAATTCTGCAATGTTTTAGGACCTATAATTCTCGAATTTGATATCATGCGTTGAAGGGTCTCAATTAGTAATTTTTTTTTATTTGCCAGGTGCAACTAAACAGCTATATATTACTGTTTCTTAGTAGAAAGAGCACTCTAGTGCAGCTCAGACCTGAAAACGAAGCTCTGATTCGCAGAGAAAATTGAGAAAGCGGACTGTGATTGTAGGCTTCGGCGATTTCAGAAACTGGCATATTTTAATTAACTTGGGTCCTGGGACAAAAACTCGCATGGCGGTTGTAAAAACCACGTTAGAACGATCTTAACTCCTGTTTCGTAGTTAGGATAGATGAGAGTATCGACGGTAGAAATATAAGATAAATCTATTTTTGAAGCCCAGATCCAGTGGTCCGCTCTTACAGAGACGCCCTCTTAAGGCCATATGTCAGCATAGGATAGTTTGAGATTAGGTTCTGGGCCGGCATACAATCTCCAACGGTCTGTGCTAGTCATGTAAATAGAGACATTCATTAACTTCCCGACAAAGGGCCTTCGCTCTTCGCAACTCTCGGATATCTTCTGGTATACTCTAAAAACACCCGGGTTAAAATTTACTGATTTTAGGTACAGGTAATAGTATAGTTCCGAGTGCAATTTGGGAAAAAAACAAGCACGAGTAAGTTTTTCAAAGACTATCAAAATTACACATGTCCGAAGAACGGAGTGCAATTTGAAGTCTTTGAAAAACTCACGAGTATTTGTTTTTCAAATTGCACGAGAAACAATACCAAACTATGCAGTCACGTGCGTAAGTCACATTTAGAAATTACGAAAGAGAAAAAATTAAGAAATTTGAAAATAAAAAATTGAGAAAATTGCACTGTATTTCTTTTTTGCACTGTTTTGATTCTTAATATCTCTAAAGCGAGTGAAGCTATTACACTCAAATATATTTTATTAGATAGAGGAAAGGCTAACTTCGATTTTGATGTATTACAGTTGTATATTTATAAAAAACTGACCGAGATATTAATGTTCAAATTCGGTACCATACTTCTGGATGTGTCAAAAATTTGCGAAAAACGGCGTGTCAAATATTAACCAAGCGTTGCTCAAATTAAAGACGTATTATTCTCAGTAAATTGATGAATCAACATTGAATGGGGGTAGGGAAGAGGTTTTTCTAAATAATTTTCTAAGATAATATAACGAAATTTAAATTATTATTCTAATATATGACAACATATCGAATATATATTACATGTTAAAATTGAATCACGATATGACTCAGCCATGTTTTTTTTTTAGGACTTTCTATAGGAAAAAGACGAGGCGGAACAAGGTTACTATTGTAATATTGTATATAATCATCGTCACTATTAAATATTGTCTCCTCTTATTATTCCCAGGTATTGGCTTTCCAGATGGAACATCCATTTGGAGTTTGTTTGCTACTATATTTTAATATATGTGTGCAATACGGTCATTCCACTAGCTTGTAACGGTCGATGTCGTCAAAGAGAGCTGTGCTAACAATCCTCAGTTATCAAGCGACGGCTGCATCGATCTCAATGAGGCTGCATCGATCCCAAGGGTGTGGAGGCCCTTGCTTGCGAGGTTGTCTCAATGATTCGTCCTCCATAAAGAAGCTTAAGTTCATTGAAAAGGAACAATAATCTTTTATCACACTAGCAAATATTTTTATTGATTTTTTCCATATATGTGACATTTCTCCAATGTGCAGGTCAGGACGAAGAACAGATTGAAGATCCTGTCCAATGAACGTAGCAATGACGCAAGGTTGTTTAATTTCTCCCAACCACCGCTTTGGTTTCATTTTACGTAAATCGCGTATCTGATTTTGATAACTCAATATTGCATGTCGACAATCTTTTCTTTTGGGATTAACTTTATCCCAAAAAATTCTAAAACGATACAAATTTAATTCCTCTTCAGCAAGAATAACATTCACATCAAAGTTCATAATGTTAGAAAAGATAGTCAATTTTTCGATCATCAGCACTTTGTTGGTCGTTTAACAGTTCAGTTACGAAATTATTAGCCTCCAACACAGGATACGGGGGCAATTTCTTTCACTTATTTATATTGTTTGGATTTTTTTTAGTGAATATGGAGTTTTTTGTTTCCTTCTCAATGGAATGAGGATTTCAAAACGTGACGTGGAATACGGAATTTTCAACTTTAACAATTTAATACGGAATGTTAATTTTTGCGTATTTTCCAAAATTACCCTTGGGGACGTGGAACTTTTAAGCACGAAACGTCAATCAGGTGCAAGATCAAATTGTAAATGTTTCAACAAAACAGTGGCATAAACGGCTGGGAAATTTAATAAATGGAGATCTTCAGATTTTTATTGCATTAAAAGATTTGTACGGATATACTGTACATAGATATAAGTCATCGCTCAACGACGAAATTCTTTGCCAACATGATACAACAGTTTTAAAATGGGGAACTTTTAGGAACGGCATATTTTAAAAACTTTTATCGCTTCCTTCCTCAACATTGCCTTGGACCAGAAGAAGATGACTGAATTGAGACTGGAGTTCAGTGCAGGTATAGCGACCGCCCAGGAAAACAGCATTATCATGGTTTCCCAATCTAGAAAATTTCTCATCAGTGAAAGAACCATGAAAGGTACGAAACTTAAACCAGACGTACATGCGACCAAAAAACAAGATTTTGCCAACTTCAATTCTCTAAGAAAGCGTCTTTTCCTTTTCATCTATGACCTATCTGCTTGTGCTGCCCCATCTCTAGGTTTGTTACCAGAAGAAAGACTTTTTCTTGCTGCGATAAAAATCTTGGTGTAAGAATATACTATTAACAGCAAGGGAATGAAGAACAGGACAAAAAACATGGTCATGTGAAATGCTCCTGAGGGATCTGTAGGCGTGCTTAGAACGTAAACGAGTGTTAGCAAGCCTACAGAACATTCAAATCTGGAAATTTGTGTTTTAGTCACTTTTGTGCGATGAACAAAAGGATGTACGACGCCCATATATCTCTCGAAGCTTAATACACATAAGGTCCATACGGACAATAAAATCGGGAACGTGCTTAAAGTGAAATGTAACGAACATAAAACCGTATTTTTAACATGAATAACGTCTTTGAGTAGTACGTGCGCCGTTATTATTGGTAAGGTTATAACACCTGTGATTAGATCAACTGCTGATTGCATTAGAATGGCAAAGTAGCTAACTTTCTCCCTCAGTTGAGAACATTTCAAAATGGTAAATATTGAAACACCATTTAGTAGTACTGTAGCAATAAATAACAAGACGTATACCACACATGCGAACACTTGATTCATGACAAATTTGTTCGAAGGAACATGAGCACCCAATCCACACTCATCAAATGGAAGTTTCACCTTTCGAAAGGCGGACGAATTCATGGTCTACAGTTTAATTCCAGACAGATGAACAAACTTTGGATCATCAACGATGGAGACGGACGAATGTAATCTGATTATTGAAATGAACGTTTACTTATTTTTATCAGCTCTTAACTGACCTTGTCAGTGTTTTTAACACACCTTCCAGGCGCTGCCGTCCAAATATTGTAAGTGCCGCTGCTACAAACAATATATAAAGATTGTGAATAGCCGGTCAATATACACATTAGGCATTAGCCAGCCAAAGTGCGAGAAGTAGATGAGCTGTATTTTATAAGGTACATGTGCATGTTAGCTTTAGAAAATTCTTAAAGCAAGTGTAACCCCACGACTTATTATCCGATACATCGTGTCCTGCTTACTTGTAATCTCATTTTGATGTAATTGAGCCTTGGGAGGATTGCATTCAAAACAATTATATAATTAATAATATACATGTGGGAAATTTTTTCGAAAAACAGTACCGAAAACTCTTCCATTAAAGTAATCCATTGCCAAAAAAGGGATACGTGGCAAGCGCCCAAACAAAAGACGTGCTAATTTCAGTTTTCACTTCTGACAGGTGCTACTTCAGGTGCTACTTTAGTATCAGGTTGATGTTTCATACAAATGAGGGAATAAATTATTTATTTCGCATGTGACTAACGCATGCATGTGGTTCTACTATCAATTTGGTTCTGCATAATTTTTTCATGGATGTTATTAATCCATTCGTCCTCAGACGACCTAAAAGACATCGTAAAAGTAGACATCGGTGACCCAGAAATTTCACTTCATAAAATTATTTCGCTTAGTAATTAGTATACTTATTACTCAATTATTTTTAAAAAAATTCTGTAGAGTCAACCGAAGTTTATCGGTAACCCGTTGGAAATGTTTTGTGCATATAAAATATGTCTGTTGAAGGTTGAACTTCACATTAAATCCAAGCTTACAGGGGCGTTCCTAGCGCGATAATTGGGGG